CACAATAAAATGTTCTTTTGAAGAAAAAAAATACGAAACACTTTCCACCTGATCAGGATCAAGTGAAGGGGGTCTCCTCACTAATTAAGGAGCCCTGGTTGCATAGTGGGTTATAAGTTGGGCTGCTAACTGCCAAGTTCTGAAGTTCAAAACCACCAGCTGCTCCGGGAGAGAAAGATGAAGCTTTCCACTCCTGTGAATGTACAGTTGCAGAAACCCTCTGCCCTGTCCTGTTGGGTCTCTGTGAGTCGTAATTGACCCAGTGGCAACGAGGGACAGAGTTTTGTTGAGGATATTTATCGTAAGAGCTACTAGTATGTACTAATAGCCAGGGGGGGTTTGGTTTGTTTTGGGCCTTGTGGTTTTATCCACTTTGAAAGTCTCTATTGTAATTGCTGGACTTAGTTCACTAGCATTTGTTGCATTTATTGTCATCATCATGGTTTGGAATCTGTTGAAGTAGTGACATTTTCTGGCACTTTGTGTATTTAATAATTTTCACTTGTATCCTGCACAGTGTGAATCTTATATTGGTATAAACTCAGTATTTTTTATATTGCTCCTAAGAATAGTGATGTTTTTGCTTGAGAGGCAATTAACTTGATTAGAGTTAAACTGTAGATGGTCAGACCTGCAGTTGGTCATACTTCAAATCTCACTTCTTTAAGCTTTAATTGCAAGTTACGTATAGTTAGTTCTGCACATGCACAGGAAATGAGTCCGTTGAAGAGTGGTACTGAGTTTCAATGCGGATTCAGGCATTGGTCTTCTGAGACTCTCTTCTTTTCTGAGATTCTCTCACTCACTCATGTGGTTTCTCTGAGCGGAAAGACAGGACTTCTATTTGTGTTCACGGAAACTTAGCCACCCAGTTTTGTGACTGTCCTGACGGTAGCCACTACGTGAGCAGAGCTACAGAAGTGTGACACTCAAACCTTGCTCCGATCTGGTTGCTGCTCCAAGTTTCTGCAGCCCTCTTTTTTTTAAATCAGTTTATTAGAGGCTCACACAACTCTCATCACAATCCATACATACATCAGTTGTGTAAAGTGCATGTGTACATTCATTGCCTTCATCATTCTCAAAATATTTGCTCTCCACTTAAGCTCCTGGCATCAGCTCCTCATTTTTTCCCTTCCCTCCCCACCCCCCTCTCCCTCATGAACCCTTGATAATTTATAAATTATTGTTTCGTCATATCTTGCACTGTCCAACATCTCCCTTCACCCACTTTTCTGGGTCCCCCAGGGAGGAGGTTATATGTAGATCATTGTAATCGGTTCCCCCTTTCTACCCCGCCCTCCTGGTATTGCCACTCTCACCACTGGTCCTGAAGGGATCATCCGCCTTGGATTCCCTGTGTTTCCAGTCCCTATCTGTACCAGTGTACATCCTCTGGTCCAGCCAAAATTGTAAGGTAGAATTGGGATCATGATGGTGGGGAGGAAGCATTTAGGAACTAGAGGAAAGTTGTATGTTTCACCATTGTTACACTACACCCTGACTGGCTCGTCTCCTCCCTGAGACCCTTTTGTAAGGGGATGTCCAGTTGCCCACAGATGTCTTGGGTCCCCACTC